GTGCAATTCAACTTCTCAGCAACTTGATATCGAAATCATAAGATTTTTGAAGATTATGTTGGATTCAACAAATGAGTTGGTTAAGTGTTATAGAATGGCAGGAGATTGTTTTAATGCAAGTCCTAATATAGATCTAAAGTTACGTCTTATAGGAAGAAGACAACAAGATGGAAGGACATATAACCTACCTACCGCTTCTGAGGTTGCTGCTTTAATTGTTGGTGACATTGGTAATTCAATTGATAATAGAGATATCATCGTAAAAACTAAATCAGGCAATCTACAACGTATAAATGAATTGCATCCTGCTTACCTTGCTCTTCAATACCCACTGCTCTTTCCTTATGGGGATGATGGATATCGAGTTGACATCCCTCATAGAGGTGTTACGTGTTCAACGAATAACAAACGATGTTACTGTACAATGAGAGAATTCTTTTCATATAGGATTCAAGACAGAGTTAATATTATCTCATTAATTCTGAATTCAAGAAGGCTTTTTCAACAATTTATGGTTGATGCTTATACGATGATTGAAAGCGAGAGGCTGTATTACATACGAAACCAACAAAAAGTTCTTCGATGCGAGTCCTATGAAACTTTACGCAGCGTGAAAAACAATGGAAATACAGATATTTCGAATATTGGACAGCGTGTGATATTGCCTTCTTCTTTTACTGGTGGTGCACGCTACATGATGCAAAATTATTTAGATGCCATGTCACTTTCTAAGTGGTTTGGCTACCCAGATTATTTCATAATTGTAACATGCAATCCAAAGTGGCCCGAGATTCAAAGGTTTATTGCTGACACAAACCTCAAACCCAAAGATAGACCGGATATCCTATCTAGGTTGTTCAAAATGAAGCTAGATTCATTAATTAAAGACTTAAAGAAAAATTCATTATTGGGTTCGGTCGAAGCAGGTAATTTATATTAATAATGCATTGTTAAAGTGTTTTTATATATTTTGTTAATATGTTTTTTTATTTTTTTCAAAATCTTATAATACGACTCTATTTAAATAAATTGTCAGCTGTTTATACGGTGGAGTTTCAAAAGCGCGGCCTACCTCATGCTCATATATGTCTATTCATGCACTCTAATTACAAGCTCCCAACCGTTGAACATATTGATCGTGTTATTTCTGCTGAAATTCCAAACAAAGATGACGATCCAGAATTGTATGCACTTGTCAGCGAGTTCATGATGCATGGTCCTTGTGGTAGTGATAATCCTAAATGCCCATGCATGATTGATAACAAGTGTTCAAAAAACTTCCCAAAGACATTCACAGAGCATACTTCGGTTGATGAAAATGGTTATCCAATATATAGGAGATGTAATGATGGATCTTTTGTTGAAAAGTCTGGTGTTAAGTTAGACAATAGAAGTGTGGTTCCATATCACAAACTGCTTTTGAAAAGATACCAAGCTCACATTAATGTTGAGTGGTGCAATCAGGGTGCTTCCATCAAATATTTGTTCAAATATATTAATAAGGGTCCTGATAGGGCTACTGTTGCGGTTGTACCAAACAACAATGCAGATGATAATGACGATGTAGTTGACGAAATAAAAAACTACTACGATTGTAGATATTTATCTGCATGTGAAGCTTCGTGGCGTATATTCAAATTTGATGTTCATTTCAGGACTCCTTCTGTTGTGAGGCTTCCTTTTCATCTTCCTGGACAACAAAATGTTGTATACGGTGCTGACGATGATATTGAGGATGTCCTCAATAAACAGTCTGTTTCTTCTTCGATGTTCTTAGCTTGGATGGAGTGTAATGAACATAATAAGGAAGCACGCAAGCTTTCTTATGTTGAATTTCCTACCAAGTTTGTTTGGAAATTGAATGATCGTTGTTGGAAGCCAAGAGAAAAAGGATTTTCTATCGGTCGAATTCACACCGTCTCTCCTAATGTTGGCGAAGCATATTTTTTGAGAATCCTTTTAAATAAAGTCAAAGGTCCGAAATGTTTTGCAGACATTCGTACGGTTAATGGACATGTGTGTCCTACTTTTAGAGAGGCGTGTTATGCTCTTGGACTGTTGGAAGATGATAGAGAATATATTGATGCAATTGAGGAGGCAAGTCATTCAGGTTCTGGATATTATTTGCGTTATTTATTTGCAACTATGTTGAAGTCTAATAGTTTGTCGAGACCGTACTTTGTCTGGGAAAAAACTTGGCAATACTTATCAGATGGAATTCTCTACAATCAACAACTAAGATTAAAGGCACCAGGTAATATGTTGTTTTTCATTATTTAAATTAATGTTTTACTTAATAATTCTTACATAATATATTATATTTATTAAATAAAATTTATTATATATTTTTTTATATTTAACTAAAACTTATTAACCTTATTATTATCGTTAAGTTTTAATTTTATAAAGTTATATATTTATAAAAATTAACTTGCAAATTTCTACAGGTTTATCGCTTGATGAGGATCAAGTTAAGAACTTGACACTTTATGAGATTGAAAAAATTTTACTCCAAAACAATTCAAGCCTCAAAGATTTTGATGGGATGCCTTACCCTGATCATGAGTCTATATCTTCTTCAAATAATCGATTGATTACTAAGGAGCTAGATTTTGACAGGACGACTCTATTACAAGAGTTTTATCAGCTACTTGGTTCATTAACAGATGAACAAAGAGGTGTTTTCGACGATATTATCACAAATGTTAAAAAAAAGAAAGGAGGTGTCTTTTTTGTTTACGGTTACGGGGGTACAGGGAAAACATTTCTCTGGAAAACATTATCCGCTGCTTTAAGATCGGAGGGTGAAATCGTGTTAAATGTTGCTTCAAGTGGTATTGCTTCCTTATTATTGACAGGAGGTAGGACAGCGCAATCTCGATTTATAATCCCTTTAAATCTTACCGAGGATTCGTTTTGTTCTATAACGCCGGAAAGTGATGTTGTTGAATTGTTAAAAAAACATCATTGATTATATGGGATGAGGCACCTATGATTCATAAGCATGCCTTTGAAGCTTTGGATAGATCTTTGAAGGATATATTAGGTTGTCATCGTCGTAGCAACTCCAAATTGCCATTTGGAGGAAAAGCAATTATTTTTGGAGGTGATTTCAGACAAATTCTACCTGTTGTTCCTAATGGAAGTAGACAAGACATCGTCAATGCTTCAATAAGTTCCTCCTATATTTGGTCAGATTGCAAGGTCTTAAAATTTAACAAAAAACATGAGGTTAAGTCTTCATACATCTAATATTGAAGAAACAGCCACATTTGCAAACTGGATTTTGAATATAGGTGAAGGAAAGGTTGGTGGCTTAAACGACGGCGAGGCAATTGTTGATATACCAGATGATATTCTCATTACAGATTCATCGGATCCTATTGGTTCATTAATTACATTTGTCTATCCTTCTATTGTTGAAAATGCCAATAATCCGATGTTTTTTCAAGAAAGAGCAATCCTTGCACCGAAAAATGAAGTTGTTCAAGAAATAAACAATCGTTTGTTAAAATTATTTCCTGGAGATGAAAAAGAATACTTAAGTTCAGACAGTCTTTGTCAATCGGAGTTTGTACACGATGACTTTGACGAATCTTTATACACTCCTGATGTTCTAAATGGCCTTAGACCTTCAGGTATGCCAATTCATAATTTGGTATTAAAAGTCGGTGTTCCAGTTATGTTATTGAGGAATATTGACCAAAAATACGGTTTGTGTAATGGAACAAGGCTACGAGTTATAGCATTGGGTAAGCGTGTTATAGAAGCAAAGATTATTTCTGGAAGTAATATAGGAAAATGTACGTTTATTCCAAGAATGTCATTGACCCCTTCGGATAAAAGGATTCCTTTCACATTTCAGCGAAGACAGTTTCCACTTGCTGTATGCTTTGCGATGACAATAAACAAAAGTCAAGGACAGTCGCTATCAAAGGTTGGTTTGTTTTTGAGACAACCAGTGTTTACTCATGGATAGTTGTATGTTGCATTATCTAGAGTTAAAAGCAGAGACGGATTGAAAATATTAATTTTAGACAACGAAGGAAACCCTACCAATAAGACATCTAATGTTGTATTCAAAGAAGTATTTGAAGATTTGTGATTTGTAAAAATTATTTAGAACATTTCATTAATGATTTTTTTTTGGTATTTTGAGTTCAATTACACACTTATTCAATAAACTCTTCACTTATATGTGTTGTATTATTTTAATAATTCGTTGATGTTCGAAATTTTATATTATTTTTTTCAAGAAACCCATGTAACACACGGGTATTACACCTAGTAAAATTATATAATCATAACTTAATTAGTAAAAATACTCATTAAGCTAATGGATAAACATGAAGGGCATGAATAAAGGGAGTTCAACAAATGGCCACACTAGTTTTGTATTTCACACATTCACCACATGACTTTAGGCTTCTTTTTCAAATCACAGCCTATAGGGCATATGCACTAGGCACAAAGCAATCTTTGACCAACAAGAGATTCCTATTACCCGCAAATTTCTATTTTTAATTAAACACTTAGTTGTACGTACAGCACCATAAGCTGTACTTGTACCTCATCCATAAGAAGTTGTACATTCTGAGTCTGCCATGCTAGTTGTAATTAGTTGAATGACAAAACTCTCCTGTTATAGATCGAATTAGTTACTCGTTTCAGTGATATGATGTGTGTATATATGTTCTCCTGGAATAAGCTTATAAGCATGCTTTTAAAGCTGTAAATATGAACAGAATGAATCCTCCAACGGTCAAAACTACTCTCTCTCTCTCTCTCTCTCTCTCTCTCTCTCTCTCTCTCTCTCTCTCTCTCTCTCTCTCTCTCTCTCTCTCTCTCTCTCTCTCTCTCTCTCTCTCTCTCTCTCTCTCTCTCTCAAAACCCTATAAATCAAAACCCTACGAAGAGCATTCATTTCCAACCCTAAACCCGCATTTATCTCACTTTCTCTCTCTAAAACTGCTACTTTTTAAGGGGTTCTTGAAGGAAAAATGAAGGTGACAAACCCACAATCATCAAGTGTTGTAATGGAGAGAACCACCGGAGTTGCGACGGTCTCAACGGCGGCGTCAAAGATGGAGACGGTTTACGAGAGGGTGCACCACCTGGCCAATAGTAACGCAGTGGTGCTGTTTTCAGTGAGCGGCTGCTGCATGGGCCATGTAGCGAAGCAGCTTCTTCTTGGCCTGGGCGTCGGCCCTACGGTGGTGGAGCTCGACAGAGAAACGGCGGGGGTGGAGATTCATGCTTTACTCTACCGCCTTGCGGCGGGGAACGACCAGCAGCAGCCAATTCCGGCCATCTTCGTTGGTGGCAAGTTTCTTGGAGGAATTGAAACGCTCATTGCTTGCCATATCAATGGCACCCTTGTTCCTCTTCTCAAGGACGCTGGTGCTCTTTGGCTTTAAAAATCATGGATATGTGGTGATCATATGGTGATCGGGGGAAGTCATCTAACTTTAATTAGTTGATAAAATTACTAATATTCGTATATGAAAAGTATGATAAGGATAATATATTAGTAATTCTAGAGAAACATGTTGATTAATTAGAAGTTAAATACATAAGTTTAAGTAAGATAAACTTTGAGTTTATTGTATGAAGGAAATTTGCTTTAATTTTGTTATCTTATACGAGGATATTAATCTATATTATTCGAAAGATGTTAATAATTGTAAATTTAAGCTATTATTTTGGTAAATATATAATTTGATGAGACGAGAATTGCATGATATTATGGTGATTAAATTGATAAGGGTTTGGGAGACAGTGGGGACATGCAACGCAGAATGCAGCACTGGATGAGGTACAACATTTGCAGCTTGTGGTCTGTGTCTACATTTATACTTTGAGAGATATGTTTTGAATATTAAATATTAAGAAAAGTTGTATAATAATATTAAACAAAATGAAACTGTAAAAAAGTTCTTATGTACTTTCCCAACACCATACTGTGTTGTTACCTTTCCTTTTTTATAAAGTTTTTGGACGTCGAAGAAAATGGGTTAATGTTATTTTACCCTCCCAATAAAAACTGTTGGTTCTATTTTACTTAAAAGATCCTTTCATGTGTCTTTTTAGGTATCGGATAATGACTTGAAAGGGTAACGAACTTTCGACTTTTGTCACATTTAGTCACTAAACTTTTTTTCGTTATCTATTTGTCATTGAACTATTGAAACTGTTCACATTTTACCCTTATGACCGGCAGCCGGTCATAAGGGTAAAATGTGAACAGTTTCAATAGTTCAATGGCAAATAGATAACGAAAAAAAGTTTAGTGACTAAATGTGACAAAAGTCAAAAGTTTGTTTCCCTCTAAAAAGTTCAATGACTAAATGTGAACAAACTTCCTCTTGTATTATGTTTTAGCAAATTATTTATTTTTGTTAAATTGTAGCAACATTTGTTGATGAAGAAATCTATGAAATAAAAAAAAAAAAAAAAAAAACCCTAAAATATATTTAAAAAAAACAAAAAACCAAAACCGAAATACAAAACCAATGGTTTGACATTTTCCAAAATAAAAAATCAAAATTTCCAATCTGATTTTGGTTTTACAAAAAAATGAACCATTCTCACTGATGTGAATTATGACCATTGGTTTGGCATGCGAAATTTGTGACATCCCATGAATATGTAGTTACAACATCGTCTGAACTCGTAATTCATAGTAAGGGGTTAGAGTATCATCGCATGAATACGTAGTTACAACATCGCCTGAACTCGTAATTCATCACCTACAGGTTATGGGCCTGCTGGTGTTTCCACTGTGTTGTCTAGAATAGTCGTGGTCGCCATCTATACTCTGGTAGATGACTACATCGCCACATTGCTGGTTAAGGTTATGGTATCTCCTTTCATCCTACATCACATATTCATCATCATCTATATACCTAATTATCATCACTTTCTATCATCACATATCTCTCATCATTTTATTTCATCACACACCAACTATTTCATCTACCCATGTTTCATCCGCAACATATTTGTAGATATAAAATAAATATACCGTTTAAATCTTTTAAAACATGTATAAAATCGTTCATCCAGCATAGACAGCAAGTATTCAAATAATATGCACACATAGCACGTAATTTATATAAAATACTTCATATCTATGTGTAAGATGAAAGTAACTATATCTACCATAAAATCCCATAAATGCTTCCTAACTTCGAACCCAAGGTTTACTCTACTAAAGCTTCATATTCTCGGCTCTCTGAACCTAGAAGGGTCCAGATCTATCACACCAAAAAGCTCAAGATAGCTCTTCCTCTCACTCTACACACTCAAGCTCGCTAGGGTTCTCACTTATGGGAAAGGTAGTGGCAATTGAAGGCCATAAGTGCCTTTAAATATGGCTCGGGCCCAAAGATTTAGGGTTTCTGCCAACAGCGCAGACTCGTCGAGTCGCCTCACCGACTTGTCGAGTCCATTCATTAATCCGAGTCATCAGTCGCGACCTTACTCGACGAGTTGAGGCGTCAACTCGTCGAGTCTCTCTTCTTAACTCAAAAGAAAAATACTTAAATTATGATACCTGGAAATCCGGATGTTGCATTTTGTTTTTTTATTTCATAGATTTCTTCATCAACAAATGTTGCTACAATTAAACAAAAATAAATAATTTTGCTAAAACATAATACAATAGGAAGTTTGTTCACATTTAGTCATTGAACTTTTTAGAGGGAAACAAACTTTCGATTTTGTTCACATTTAGTCACTAAACTTTTTTTCGTTATCTATTTGCCACTAAACTATTGAAATTGTTCATATTTTACCCTTATGACCGGTAACAGTCGGTCATAAGGGTAAAATGTGAACAGTTTCAATAGTTTAATGGCAAATAGATAACAAAAAAAAGTTTAGTGACTAAATGTGATAAAAATCGAAAGTTCATTACCCTTTCAAGTCATTATCCCTTTAGGTATTAACTAGGAATGTTAGTATAAAAACCAAATGTGAAGGGTTAATCTGTTACCTATCTTAATTGGCATAGGAGCTAATCAGTTATACAATAATTTTTCTAGTTATACAAAAAAAATTTATATAAAATATTATATTGTATAAATCACTTTGCAATTTGCATAGTGATCATCAGAATTGGTCCACGTAGTATTGAGATGAGTCAACGTTAACTTTTTGGTTAAAATTATATTTTCTTAAATCAAAAAACTATTTATTAATTTTTAAATTTATTACCATTATTATTATTATTAATTATTATTATTATTATTATTATTATAATTATTATTATTATTATTATTATTATTTTAAATGGTTTAAAATAAACAATTTTTTATAATAATTTTTTACCGTGTTCCCTCTCTCGGACATCTTAGATGGCCAAGTAGACAATTTTTATGGATAACAATAAATGAAATAAAACTTCTTAAATTGAAAGAGATAAAATATCGATAAGCAAATTGATAAACATGTACATAAAACATCTTATAGACTCAAAAATTTTGGATATAAATTCATTTCACAAAGAGAACTCCCTACCTTTTAAAATTTAACCCAAATTACATTAAACTCTATATTACATATTCTATTTTTATTTTTTAATCTGTCACCGATGTGGATAAGGTGTAAAAAAAAACTCTATAAAACCATATGAAAAAATATATTTTTTATAGAAAAATTGAATTCGAGGGAGGTGGGGAGAGTGTGGAAGGGTATTGAGCGATTCCTTCCCGAAAAACCATCAAGAGTCCGTTAGTGTATATATGAATAATATAATCTTATTTAAATATATTTTTAATAATGTTTGTTTTAATTTATAAATACCAAAGTTACCTGACAATGGGGCATTTGAGTTTTGAGCACCGATTTCAAACACACTTCTAATTTCATTTGCTCATCGTGATTTCTCCTTTGATTCAGAGTCTTCTTTGTAAATAGGATTAAGTATCATATATTGTGTGATTACAAGATACATATTATCTATTTTTACCTTTTTGTTATGGAGTCTTTTTTTAACAAATAATAGAAATATAAAATCATGGGACGTTCATATAGTAGCAAATTAACAAATTTCTTCCATCAAAAATTAAAGTTATCATTTACACCAAAAATTTGCTATTAGCAGGAAAAATAGGTATTTAAGATTTTACTTGAATTGTTATTTTCTTATTTATTTAATATATTTTGCTTATTTTCTTTGTTTGCTTTTATTGATGGCGGTGAATCCGGTGATGGCAAACATGTTGATGAAGAGAAAAAGAAAAATGAGGTAATAAAATATGATTTATGTTTATAGACTCTATGGACTAAAACTAATATAATACCATTAATTCTATTTCTTTTATTTAGAGATGATATTCAAATATCAAACAATGAAGACAAAGAATGCATATTGGTGATGTCTTTTTGGATTAATTGTACTTTTTTTTAAAACTCTGCATTTATCGTGTTTTATCATATTGTTGAGCTTCTAAAATTCAACCAAAAAATTATATCTCAAACAAATGGTACTATTTTTTGAACGCCTAAAATATAATTTTAGAGCTGTCAAAATTCTGCCAAAGTAAACCACCCAAAATTAAATCTTAGTTTTTGAACTACCAAATGCAAAAATAATCATTTTTTAGATGTCAAAAGTCTAGATTTTGAGATGTCAAAACCCTATATAAACAAGCAACTTCAGCCCAAAGAAGAACCATTTTAAGCCCGCAAAACATTCATATTCGAGCCCACCATCCAAACAGCTAAAATCAAAAAATAAACGGGGAACAGGGGAGAGGCGGGGGTGTTGTGAGAATACAAGGATAGGAAACCCTAGTTAAAGTAGACACAAAATTCTTTGGTGCTGCATTGATTTTTATTGGTTTATTCTATTGTTTTTATAGACTCAAACCATTTCCGATTCATTTTCATTTTTTTCTCTCATAAATGAAGTAAAAAAAATATGACAAATAGTATTTCTTCTTCAATCTTATTACATATATTATTGTATTTTTTTACCCCGAAAAAATATATTTCTAATATATTTCATTTGTGTAATTTATATATATATATATATATATATATATATATATATATATATATATATATGTGTGTGTGTGTGTGTGTGTGTGTGTGTTCTCAAGCACGCTCTTTACTAATTAGATTTTAATAAATATATTTTATATTTTCTCATTACAATAATATTATAAATTATATTATCATAAAATTATAACAAAATAAAATGTTATACATAACAAATTTGAATTAGTTATTAGTTTATTATAAATAATTATTAAATAAATAAGATTACATTTATAACATATATATATTTCATATTTTTTTGATATGTTTTATATCGACCAAGAAATTGTTAGAATTAACTTAATATAAAACAGAATATTACAAATATTAAATGTTATATTTAAATTATAATTAATAGATAAAAGTAAACTGA